TTTTCTTTTCTTTTCTTTTCTTTTCTTTTCTTTTCTTTTCTTTTCTTTTCTTTTCTTTTCTTTTTTATCAGTGCCTCTTACTGACTCTTTTATTGAGCAAATTTAAAAATATAATAAAGCCCTTAATATAGAGCTATATAATCTATTCCCACATTATCCATGCCTGAAAATATATAATGTACTTCTCTGCATTTTAAGTTTATTTCTCTATCAAGAGGTGAATAGCCTGTTTTATTTTCATTCTTTCAGACTACACTAATGGTATCTCGACATCCCACTCCCTTTCCTGCCTAGCTAGTGCTCTCCCCATCATGGATTAGAGGTATTAAACTTACAGCCCACTTGTTCCCAAGTGGGGCCAGAACCAGATTAAAATGTATTTGGCAAATGATTAACAACATAAATAAAAAATATCATACCACATAGACAATGTCAATTTGTAGTTTTCTAAGTCAATATGCAGCCTGGTCCTTTTCTATTTGAGTTTGAGACCACTAGGCTAGAAGACATGTGTTTCCATTTTCTAATCTTCTGACTAAATGTACATAATTTTTGGGTCCATAATGCTTCATGAATAGTGACTAATCCTGCTTCTGTTTAGTCATATTCACATAGATTTTGATAACTAATATGTATGACATTTGGTATTATGGAAGACCAAATTCTCCTGAATACCAGATATTAATATTTTGATAAAGTGCCTAGAACTCCCCTGTATCTCAGCCTTCAAGGCAAAGAATGTGTGTGTGTGTGTGTGTGTGTGTGTGTGTTTGTACTCAGTAATCCAAATGCATTATATGTATTTTATTTTCTTAGTGCTACCACAAACACTACTCTCAGTGGATATTTCATTCCTTGGAAAACCTGTGTGTTTTTTAATATGTATCAAGTAAACCATGATGAGTAAGTATCTGCTAGAATTCTTCTGCACAGAGGGACACAGGCTCACTTAACTCAGCTGTAACCAAACTTTCTTCCTTCCAATCCTATCAACTCCAGTGTCCTTAAAAGGCATTCAGTTCCCAGAGGAAACCATGGTGATTATAGGATTTTAGGATTTAGGGCTAGAAGAGACCTTAGAGACAGAAGAGGAAACCTATGCTTAGAATCAATTTGGCAGGCAGATAAAATAGAAACATATGTCCTTTATTTTATTTATTTGTTTATTTTGTAGTAGAGGGTGTGGCAGTGTGGACTTGTGTTTGCATTGTTCTGGAGAATTTATGGTGTGAAAACTCCCTTCACTGATGAAGATCACAATGTGTTATGATGGGTCATTGAGGTTTTATATGTAAGAGTGTTTAATTTGGGAGTGGCCCAAAAGAATATGTTTAGAAGTCCAACACCCACATTTTAAAGATGAGTCAGTAAAAAAGGTACATCATGATATCTTTATCCCAAAGTAGAGTAGAAAGGAGATGGCCAAGTATTTATGAAGTTAGGAACTGTTCTTTTTTTTTAAATAAATTTTGACATCTTTTGTTTTTGCATCACATATATTTCTCATCATTCCATACTCCCATTTCCCAAAAATCATGCTCCATAACAAGGAATGAAAAAGAGAGAATAAAAATTCAGCAAAACTAAGAAATGTATACAAAAGTCGGACATATTCAGTGTTCCATATCCATTACCCTTGACCTCTGTAAAGAAGCAGAGTATGGGAAGAGGTGCCTTCTCATGTCTTTTCTTTGGGACCAAGTATGATCGTTATAATCCCACAGCATTCAGTTTCACTTGGATTCTTCTGCTTTCCCTTTTACATCATATTCATTATGTATTTTGTTTTCCTGGTTCAGCTTACTTTGCATCACATCAGTTTATAGAAATCTTCCCATATTCTTCTATATTCATCATATGAATCATTTCTTTTGGTGCAGTATTGTCTCATTACAGCCATGCACCACAACTTTTGTAGCTATTTACCATTTGATGGATAGTAATTAGTGGGGCAGATAAAAGCCTACTGCATAAGGTTGGCTTTGAACAGAGTCTTGAGGAAAACCAAGAGGCACAACAAGGCAAGAGGAAGAAAATTCCAGGTATAAGAGATGGATTGTCATGTTCAAGGAAGTTTAAGTAGGTGCTTAACGAATGCTTGTTGACTTGGGGTAACACGTGGATTCTTGAAGAATATTGAACCTGTGTTTTTATCATCATCATTATCATCATCATCACATCATTGCCCACATCATCATTGCTTTTATTTGCTTTTTTAGGGATCACAATTTATTTCAATACAAACCACTTGCCTTTATCTCTAAATAGCTTAACTTCAGTAACTTTCTGTGATTAAATGAAATAATGTATGAAAATCAGGAGTTCTCAACCTTTTTTATATCCTTCCTTTGGAAATCTGTTGAGGCCTATGCTCCCCTTCTCAAAATAATATTTTTAATTAAAATAAGTTATAAATTTCAGTTAGAAGATGTTTAAAAACAGAGATATATTCCTCCCCCCCCATCTAAGTTCATGGACATTCTGAATTCTATCTATGGATCCCTTGAGAGCTGTTGGACCCCAGGTTGAAAACCTCTGATATAAAGTGTTTGCAAAACTTAAAAAAATGCTATATGTAGTTATTATTGTTGTTATTAATTTTAGCTTGTGAATAAGATTTTCATGGAAAAGTTGGTCATCTTTTCTAATACTATGAGCAGTCACAAAGATGGAAACAAACTTGAAATGTGTTCAAAACAGCAAGCAGGCTGGTCTGAATGTAGCAGCAATTTCTTGTCAGGGAACAGTAGAGGAATAAGAATTACCATTCCTCTGCTATATAAAGGAATATTTTACTTCTGCTAAATTGAGTAGGAAAATTGGCTCAAATTGTGGAAGACTTCTAAAGTCAAGATGAGAAATTTAGCCTTGATTCTATAATTATTCCTATGCAGACAGTCATTAGAAGAGGAAGTTTCATCAATTAGGAAGTTTTCTATACCAATGAAATCACAGGTATTGTCCCTATTCCTATCTCTATCCACATCCTTATAAGAAAGTAGTAAGCCATCATTAGTACTCTCAAGGAGAAAAGTCACTGCTGTTTTAGGAAAACTTTTCTGCAAGCAGTATTTAGCCTAGATTAGATGAGAGAAAGAATAGATAAAGGGAGGCAGTAGTGATATTTAGCAGTTGGGAAGAGAGAGAATGAAGAGAAGAGAGAGGGAAGGAGGAGTTAGGGTGGGAAAGACAGAAGAAGAAGAAGTAAAGGGGGAGGCAGGAGTCAGGGAAGAAAAAAGAGGGAGAGAGAGAGAGAGGGAGAGAGAAATAGAGATAGAGATAGAAAGAGAGAGAGAGAGAGAGAGAGAGAGAGAGAGAGAGAGAGAGAGAGAAATCATTTGCATACAATTGAGTTACCTAGGCCAAGGTAAAAGCACATGGAAGCATTTGAGTTCAAGCAACCAGCTAATAAGAATCCTGAAATTTTATAAGAGCCTATGGGAATTTCTTTATCAATCTAACTAAAATATACATTTTAGAAGGAAAAGTTTATCATTTGTAGCTTAATTTAAAGCATATTGGATGAAGACCTGGATTTGGAATCAGCCAAGTCCTTCCTGACATATGCTGACTGAGTGACTGGGCAAGTGATTGAACCTTTCATTCCTATTGTTAAATACTTAAGACCCTAAGTTGCATGGCAGGCACTTACCTGCTTAGTAGAATCAGGAACTTCCTTGTTCAAGGAGTTCTTTGTACTAGTGAAATCACAGAATATTCCTATCCTATCTCAAGTAGTGTTATTGCTTTTAACACGAAGGAATATTTGGTGTCTATAAAAAGGGCAGTGAAATTTTTGCCACGTCCCTAATTGCATTCCATAAAGAGTGTCCCATCATCTATAAAGGAGGCAGCCTGGTGTTATGGAAAAAATGTTACATCTAGAGTTAGAAAATCTGGTCCAAATCCCATCCACCCCTGCTCTACTCCAACCCTGTTACCTTGCACTAGTCACTTAAATTGTGCAAGCCTGAGTTTCTTCATCTATGAAACGAAGGGATTATACTGGGTGACCAATGATCTAATCACAGGCATCCTAGAAACAGGCCAACTTTGACTACCTGTCTGAAAAGGTGAGACTTGTGGAAATACAGTTACTGGTTCCTTGGATTATACTGTGGATTTCACTTCAAAATCTTAGAAAGACATGTTTTCCCTGTAAACATTCTTTCAAATTTTTGAAAGCAAAGAACAAAACAAACAAAAAAATTCACTTGTGGTATTTACAAATTATAAAACTTGGCCTAGGAATTCTAATTAAAACTATCTTTTTTTTTTTGTTAGGCAATGGGGTTAAGCGACTTGCCCAGGATCACACAGCTAGTAAGTATTATGTATCTGAGGCCGGATTTGAACTCAGGTCCTCCTGAATCAAAGGCCAGTCCTCTATCCAATGGACCATCTAACTGCCCCCTAAAACTCTACCTTTAATATGTCAGTGTGCTGAGTGGCTTTAAAGGATTTCTCCATTTGAAGTCTTTTCATGTTAATAAAAGTAACCTACTGCTACGGGGGGGGCTTGTGAAGAATCCCTAGTAAAGAGGTTGCAAAGCTTTTAGCATATGTAAAATACTCTCCATACTGAAAAATAGTAATGATGTTTGTAATACTATAAGAATTTAGTGGGCTGTTTGTCTAGGAGTCCTTCCCTCTTCGGTTTTTTAAAACCTCCTTTTTTCCAACAGTAGGTAAGCAATGTTTTTTAAGCAATTTCAATTTTAAATGGATTGTCATATACTACATTACATTTTACTGTGATCTTAAGGCATAATTAAGTAATGGGTTACTCTATATATTTGATAAAAGATATATTTATATATATATTTACTACAAATATATTTTAGATAAGCATAAAAATGAAAGATGGGAGAAAATGGAAATGCATTAAGAGTAAATTTCCCAATTAAAATATAAAGAACAATTTATGTGATACTTATTCCTTTAGCATATCTATTTCTTGCTGAATAACAGATTATGAACTGTATCATAAGTTGGTGCCATACACTCATGTTCATATCTAATTTGTTTCTATTCATATGGGAAATAAAAATATTAGTATCTACAAAATGTGTGTGTGTGTGTAGGTTCTGATAGAGTTTATGATTCTGGTATATTAATTCTCTACACAAGTCTATGAGCGTAACTATATTACATATGTATGTGTGTGCATAAATGCATTACTTCATTTTATCCTCACAACAATCCTGTGAGATAGATAATACAGATTTTATTATCCCCCACTTAGAGATGAGAAAACTGAGGCTTTGAAATGGTGAGTCATTTGCTCATGGTCACGTATATATTTAAGTTCAGAAGTAATATTTAAACCCAGGTCTTCTTGAAGCCTAGTATTCTGAAGACCTCAAAGTGGAGAAACTAAAATTATCAGCAGTTTGGGGTCATTTGGATCAGGGGTAAAAAAATATCAAACCCATCTCAATTGTTCTTGGGATAGTTAAGGCTATAGTTATGCCTTTAAGGCTATGGATATTTTATTATTCAGTAGTGCAGCTTAATAACTGATATTCATAATGATGACTGTGGATCATCATTTGACTACACACATGTGGACGAATCCAAAACATACCCACATGTGTACATGTGCTGGTGGGGTATGCTTATTTCTTTCTCATGAGAGATTTCAAATAGTGAGTTTGAATCTGAATCCAATCCTTCCCATTCTTCACTATCATGGTTACCACCAGAGTGTAGACCATCATCACCTTATTTGTATTTTTGAATTAGCTCCCCAATTAGTCTTCCTACCTCGTGTCTCCTCTTTCCAATTCTCCTTCCACATAGCTGCTAATGTTGTATTCTTTTTGAATAGTCTATCATTTTATTGATGTTTGCTTCTATATAACATTCATTTCTAAATATATTTCCTTGCCCCCATTACATTGTGAGCCATCCCTTTTTAACAAAGATTTTTAATGAAGATACAAAATCAATTTAATAAATCTAACCAACACATTAACAATGTCAGGCCATGTATTTAATATTCTACACTTATTCACCCACACCCCTCCAGTAAAGGAAAGGAAATATCTTTCCTCAGCGCTTCTCTGTGTCCAAGTTTGGTGTAACATTCAATTTCAGTTTGGGTTCCTTCCATTTGTCTTATAGGTGTTGTGAATAATAGTTTTCCTTGTTATGAATACTTTAGTACGTATCAGTTCATAGAATTCTTCTTATGCTTTTCTGAATTCTTCATATGCATTTCTTACAGTGCAGTAGTAATATTCTCTTACATACATGTACCACAATGTGTTTAACCATGAGCCAACCAATAGGCATCTATTTTATTTCTTTGCTATCACAAAAAGATCTGTTAGGAAGATTTTGGCATACGTGGGACTTTCTTTCTGTCTTTGCCTCATTGAGATATATACCCAGCAATGGGATGTCTGGATCAAAGGGTATGTGTATTTAAGTCACAAAGTAATATTCCTAAAGTATGGGTCTGACTATGATATTTCTTTCCTCAAACTCCTCTGTTGTCATCTAAAGCCTTTCATAATCTGATTTCTTCTTACCTTTCCATGTAATAATTTCTTTCCCTTTAAAAATAAATTCTCATTGATAATTTTTATTTTTTTGCCTTGCCTACATTTCTTCCTGTTTATTCCCAAAAGTTTGGTCATTATAATTTCATAGCATTCAGTTTAAAATGTCTTCTTTTTGCTGTTTTTTCCCCCCTCCTCATATATATTATTGTAGTCATTGTGGATACTGTTTTCTTGACTCTTGCTTACTTCACTTTGCATCAATTCACATAATTCATCATATTCATCATTTATTATAGTACAGGAATATTCAATTCTATTCATGTACCACAATTTCTTTAGCCATACCGCCATTGATGGGGATCTGTTTTGTTCCCAGCTTTTTGTTACCGTGAAAAGTATTGCTAATAACATTTGGTGTGTGTGGGTACTTTCAGTGACCTCTTTGGAGTTTATGACTAGCCGTAGAATCTGATTATTCCCTTGAATGCACTCTGTGGTACAGCTGACTTGGCTTATTTGCTCTTCCTCAAACTTGACATTCCCTTTCTTGTCTCTGTGACTTTCTATAGGTTCTTCCCATGCTTGGAAATGAGTGTCCTTAACTTTGTCTCTTAGGAAGGAAGCCAAGGTGCTTTCTTGAAAGCTCAGTTCAAATGCCACCTCCTAAATGAGTCATTTCCTAATCCTCTAGCTGTCAGCACTTCTAACCATCTAAAAATTACATTGAATTTACTGTATATAAATATTATATTTAATTATTCTTGGACATATTTTTCTCCATATAAGTTTGTTAAGGGCAGGGACCATTTTGTTTTTTGCTTTTATAGCCCCTGTGCCAAATACAGTGACTGTCCCAAATACTGTGACCAAATACAGTAGGCAGCTAGTAAATGCTTGCTGATTGACTTACTGAGTGATCATGACGTAATTTTTCCTTTGGCAAAGATCAAACTTTGGATAAAAATTTAATGTGTGAATGGCCTGGGGTCTTACTTGAACTGAGAAATGATTATCCTTCACAAGAGAACAAAGACATTAATGGATCTGCTAATTGCTATTTCAATCCAGTCTTGGTCTAGACCAGGTGGTCTCCTGTGGTCCGACTTCAAGGGGCATGAGATCAGATGGTGAAATGTTGGGAAGACAGATGGCATGCCATCTTCATTATGCTAACCTGTGTGGGGTTTGTCCTCAGCACCACCACACCTATCCTTATCTCCCAACAGTGGACCATTTTATTCCCTGTCTCTGATATACAACTTCCAGATCTCCCCTTTTTTAATCTGGGTGTCAGGTCTTCTGAGCAGTTATTACTTAAAATAACCACTATCCAGAGTAACTTTATAGAGATCATTTGGAAAATTTTGCTTCTATTCCTGAGGCCTACATCATTCCATGTCTATTGCAGGTGATCTTTAAAGAACAGATATTAGGGAAATGACCTATAATTAAGGTCCCTATCTACTCCCTTTTGATCCTGAGTAGGACAAATTGAATCTCATAACACACACCAACATGGATAGATTTGAATCTGAAGAGTAGATTTCATTACTTCACCCCATCCCCACCTTCATCTATCTTCTAAAGTTCCCAGTTACTGATGAGGGTGCCGTCTTCCTTTTCGTCATCCAGGTTTTCCTGATCTCAGTATCATCTTCAGTGAAGATCCTCAATTTTCTCTCCCTCCCCCCTGCCCCCCCCATGTCCAGGTAGGTGGCGGAGTGAATTGAATGTTGGGCTTAAAATAGGGAAGAACTAAATTCAAATCCTGCTATTAGAAACTTAATAGCTGTGTGATCCTAGGCAAATCAGTTTCCTCATCTGCAAAATGGGGATAAAGATAATACCTCCCTCACAGGTTTTCCATGAAGATCAAATGGAATAATGTACATAAAATATTTTATAAATGTTAGCTATTATTATCTGTGCACCCGATCAGTGGGCTAAATCTTACCAGTTCAGCAAGCTGTACATTAGTAGAAAGTCTCAGCTTCATGTATGCTCCTATTTTTCTGTTTCGTTATATATGAAGAAATAAATATTCATTCTTTTTGTACATTTTAATTTTAGAATAAAAAAATTAAAATCTTGTCAATTTTACCTACACATTTCTACTCACACAGCCACCACTCTAGTTCAGGCCCTCATCCTGTCTTGCCTGTATTATTGTGATAGCCCCCTAATGGATCTTTTTGCCTCAAGATTCTCCCCTATTAGATCTATCCCCGACACAGCTGCCAAAGTGATTTTCCTAAAGTATATGCTTCACCATTTCACTCCTCCATGTGTTTCCCTATTGATTCTAGGATGAAATTTTATTTCATTTTTCTCTCATCCCTTTAAAATTTCTGTTTTTGTGTCATGACATATAGTTAAGTAGTACATGTATATAATTTATAAATAAGTAAATATACATATATGGAGTGTTCTCATTTTTTTTGATAAAAAAAAAATTAGAGACCATGGGTCTAGACAACATGTAAACTTCCATACAACATTTAAATATAACTCCTGATATTATGTATGTGTGTACATGTGTATGTGTATTAAAAATGACTACAAATCACCATGTACTATAGCTATACAGACATAAAGCACCAACTTTGATGTTTTGCTATGGTTTATAAAGCTTGTCTGAATAGCTCAGTTTTTCTACCCTCTTGGTTATGCAATGACTCTTCATAGGATTATGGATTGTCCAAGTTGAAAGGGTCTTCAGAGGCTACCAGGTCCGACCCGTACCACTACAATATTCTCAAAAAGTGATCATCCACCTTCTACCTGGAGATATTCAGTCATAATAAGGAACC